CCCCCCACCCCCTCTCCCCCTCTCTCTCTCTCTCTCTCTCTCTCTCTCTCTCTCTCTCTCTCTCTCTCTCTCCTCCCGTTTCTGGACAACTATGATCACTTCGTCTTGTCCCCATCTCACACAAGTCACCACTACCCACAGACTGGATTTCTTGGGGCAGAGGCTCGGGACCGTTTGACATCTGCCACAGGCACACAGGGCCTTTAGAGCAGATGCCACAGAAGTTTGTAGAATGAATAGAAGAGGCCTACTTTCCACGTCCAAAGATCCTCTGCCCCGGGACTCTCCAGTGAGATGTAGGAAGAATGCCCTACTGTGCCCTCTATCTGCCAGTTGGGACAAGGTGATCCCAACACCTCCAGCAGCAGCCTCCCTTCAGCAGGCCCAGAGACCCTGGTCTCTTTGTCACCTCTGAACAGAATGGGTCTGGCTGTCCTGGCATCCCTGATGTAGTGAATGTCCATGGCTCCTTTTCTTTTGCAGTATGAAGTAGAAGTTTAATTCTTGTTAGTTCTCTATCAACACAGTGCCCCTTCAAGGCCACCTCAAAGCCCACAAGATCCCTCCATCCTCGTTAGTCTTCAAAGGAGTAGGCTCCCACAGCTTTGAGAATAACCTCTGGTCCTCTGGGACCCTCACTCATGCTGTTCTCCCTAACACGTTACCCCTTCACACACACACCCTGACTGGCCTCTGGGGACTTAAGACTTCCAGCCCTGGGAATCTGTAAGGATTCCCAGGTCACCTTCCAGTCTTCCATGGCCCTCTGTAGTCTGCCATCTTACCCACTTAGACCCCCTGGGCAGTAGGCACTAGGTACAGACGACCCAGGCACAGCTGCCTGATGGGGACAGGGATAGCTGAGGGCTGCTACCAGGTCCCCCTGATCCTGTGTCTGCCAGGAGCCTCACCTCCAGTACTCCTCGCTGGGGCTGGTCCTGTGCAGGGTGTGGTTGAACAGGTGAGAGAGGTTGCCAGACAGGGCAGTGGACTGGGAGCCATTGGTGAGGTTGGAAGCATCCAGCACACCGGCACAGTCAGGGGTGTTCCAGGGGTTATTGCAGTAAGCCCAGGGCAGCACGTGCGTCATGGACGAGAAGAAGTAGTAGAAGGCGATGCAGATGACCACATTGTAGTAGATGCCGATGTATGTGGACACCACCATCATGCCATAGCCCACTCCTGGAGAAGCAGGGTGAGCACTGAAGGAGGAGCCTGACTTATCTAGTGAAGGTTAACAGTTCCTAAAGGCCCAAGACTCAGTCTTCGATGGAGAGCTACAGAAGGGAGGGGTCAGGCCTTGATGAGTCAGCGGACGAAAGGAGTTTTGTGTATATACGTGGCAGGAGGGAAGGATGGGGCCAAGTGAATAGAAAGCCCAGCATGTATCTACGGTCTTGGCCATTGATGTCAGGCTCGGGTCAGCACTGACACTCCACAGGGGCTATTCATGTTTGTACAGATGGACAAGCCGGCCTCTGTGTGTGTGTGTGTGTGTGTGTGTGTGGTATGTGTATGCACACCCCCCCCACACACACGCACATGCACATATAAACATGTACACACCCCACCAGGACCTCACCTTTGAACATGGGGCTGATCCTCCAGACCCCCAGGCACCCCTGGCTTGCAAACTGGCCGAAGGACAGCTCCATGAAGAAGAGAGGGATCCCGCAGAAGATCAGCATGATGAAGTAAGGGAACATGAAGGCACCTGGCATGCAGGGAGAGGTCAGGCTCAGGGTGGGCTTGGGGAATACCTCCCCAGGTTTCCTTCTCGGAAGCCACAGTACACCTCTGTGTTTCACTAGTGCTGCGACAGCAACCTGGGCTGACGCACACTCCCCACAGCCTGGCTTTGAACTTGACAGAGGCTCCCAGGAAGTCTGCTCTGGAGAAAATCCAGCCCCCAAACTGCCATGTTGGGGTAGGATTTGATGGTTTAACCAATTGATTTCACAAGAAATCACTGAGGTTCCTCAAATAGCTCTGCACCATCTGGAGGGCTGCTGAAACATCGGAAGCTAAGACAGGGAACCCAGGAATTTCCAGCCTTTTCTCTACGTCTCCTAGCCTTCAAGGAGCAGGATAGCAGGATCAGGCTGCTGGGGTCTGAGGGTGGCCTGCGCTGTAGGCAAAATATGCCTAAGCAGGGATAGGGCAAAGACCAGGGCTAGAGGTCATCTTCTTCCTGGAGTGGTGTCTGTGCCAGGGAGACAGTGGCCCAAGCCCTGGTGGTAGGCTCTACCCAAGTGGGTGGTCCCTGCCCTGTGCCCACTGGGTACCTCCCCCGTTGCGATAGCAGAGGTATGGGAAGCGCCAGACATTGCCCAGGCCCACGGCATAGCCCACGCTCGTCAGTACAAACTCGATCTGGTTGCCCCAGTTGCCCCGTGTGAGGTTCTGGTCCTTCTTGGTGGCCTCGCTGGGCACAGCACCATTCTGCGGGGACAGGAAAGAAGCCACCATTAGTAAGGCATTAGTGCCCATGTCTGGCCCTAAGTCTCCCCCAGTGGGTTTTCTTTGGACCACCATGTCACCCCACCACATACTAGGGCTTCCTCTCTGCTGGCAGGAGTTGAGGGCAGGCCTGGCAGGAGAGAAAGAGACACACAGCTGCCAGATGGTGTCTGGCCCTCTCTGCCAGGTACAACAGCCCACCTGAGGAACTGTTAACAGCACGAAAGGGACTCTGAAGAGGGAACCTGAGCCAAGAGCCCCCTTACCCCTCTAAAACCATGCCTTTCCTCTCAGGCTAAGGACCTCGGAGCAGCTGAGCCTCATACCAAGCAGCCAAGTCAAGCTGGGCACAAAGAGGCCTGTGTCCAGACAGCTACCCCCCACCCACCGCCTACCACATCGCCAGGCTAAGCACGCTGCCCATGGGCAGTCGGTGGCTAGACTTCTCCCTAGTGAAGGCTTCTTCCTGGGGGCACAGGGGTGAGCAGGGCTGGGTGGGAGAGGGGATGCTGCAGCTAGGCTTGGCCAGACCTGAGCAGGACACTGTGGAACTCAAGGGAGGGCCCTGGGGAAGCTGACTTGAGCTGCTGATGCTGGGCTATGCGTTAGCATAGGAGATCAGAGTCGTAGGCACCATGCCAAACTTTGAGGACAGACTTTGCTAGAGGAAACAGAGGTGGCTCCAGAGAAGGGTCTCACAAGAGGGAGGCTCACAGATCAATCCCGGGCCTGCCTGCGGGAAGTGCTGGGTGAGGCTGTCCAGGGCCCACCGAGGATTCCATGAGGCATCCCGACTTCGGATGTAGACCTACCTCTACAAGTCCCTCGGTGTGTGCCCCTTCTCTAGGCCACTCTTCTCCCAGCCCCCTCCTGCTATGAGTGGGAATCAACCACCATCAGATACAGAGTTGGTGGGGCCTGAGAGTGTCATTAAAGAGATACAAGGACCCTGAGAGTTACTAGCAGAGAAATACAGAGTACTTGTACGTCAACAACAGCTTCCCAGACATGAGCTATAACCCTGACAGGAGAAGTTCTTCTAAAGGACACTTGGATCAAGGTTGGAGCAGTGTGGCCATGAGACATGACATGACGCTGAGTATCGTGTGAAAGTGACATCTTCAAGTTCAGCAGCCAATGAACTGCTAGTCTGGCCAATGACTAGCAAGGTAGCCTGGCGCTCTGACACACTATCAGACCTTGACATTGGTAGACAAACCTGAGTGGCTTCACTAGGGCCCCAGTACCTTTGGAAAGGCCTGTGAGGAATTCAGATCTAGGGAGCACACATGCCTGGTGGGTGAACACCATCGGTGGGGAGGACTATCCCGTGTATCCAGTTCAGCTCAGATGTGTTGCCCTTCACATCCTCAAAGGAGACTACAGGAATTAGGGAGGAGGACTCCTTCCTAGAGCACCCAGGGCAAACTAGCAGGCTGACGGTATCTGCATCCATTCATTCATTCATTCATTCATCCATAAAATGTCAAGATTTACAGGTCCCCTATTATATGTCAGGCAACAGCAACTCAGTTGGAAATAAAGTAGGTCTAGAAGACATCAATGAAGTAAGAACACACATCGAGGGCGTTGATGGTGCACACCTTTAATCCCAGCCCTCGGGAGGCAGAGGCAGGCGGATCTCTGTGAGTTCGAGACCAGCCTGGTCTACAAGAGCTAGTTCCAGGACAGCCTCCAAAGCCACAGAGAAACCCTGTCTCAAAAAAAGAAAAAAGAAAAGAACACACATCGCCAGGCAGGGTGGTACTTGTCGTTGTTAATCCCAGCACTAGAGATGCAGAGGCAGGAGGATCTCTGTAAGTTTGAGGCCAACCTGGTCTACAAAGAGAGTTCCTGGACAGCCAAAGCTATTATACACAGAGAAACCCTGTCTCGAAAAACAAAACGAAACAAAACAAACAACAAAAGAACACACATCATCCTATATGCAACTTTAGTATTATCACAAAAAAGGACTTCCTCAAAGTTGTAAGGAAAGGCAGGGTGAGGTCCAGGCCAGGCTTGCTGGTGAAGGGCACACTGTGCTATGGGAGATGGTGGTGCCAGCTTCCGTATGCCCTCTCCGACACACCCCTATAGCATCCTACATTATCACCTCTAAGGTACTTTCTTTGGGGAAGGGGTTTCTATACCAAAGGGCCAGGGGCCCATGCTTTGAAGGGTATGGGGCCTGCTTGGGGTGACTTATCTGCACCCAAACAAACACCAGCCACATAGGGCTCCTATCCGTTGGCCCTACAATAACACTTTTATTCTGTCCTAGGCTTGTTTACTTAGGAACACAATGCAGGACTGTGGCAGCTCCAGAGTCCATGGGTGGGGTCACAGGGTAGCAGTTCCAGCTGTAAAAGGGATAACTGAGGGTCCAAGATGGCCCCATGGGCAAGAAAAGGGCAAGGCCCCCAAGAGACACCCATCTTTCCCAAGCTTGAAGTTCAAAGCCTCTCTCCTGGCCAGGACCATGAGATCGAACCCCTGGCCTCTCCAACCACATATAGCAGGACCATATTTGAATCCCTAAATTCTACTCTTTTCCTGGCAGAGGGGGACAGAAGAGGGGCAGGTGGTAAAGCCCCCCAGCCATGTGCCACAGGCTCCTCCAGTCAGTCCTCAAAAGCTAGGGTTTAGCTAACAAGACAAACACCACTGAGCCCATATACCAGTGAGCCATGTGCTAACTTATTCCACCAAGCACGTACTGAAGGAAGCTGATGCCCCAGGTTAGGAGCCAGACTGAGGCCTGTCACTAGGCACTGGCAAGAAGTTACTGATGAAATTAGGGCTCCCTGAAGGCAGGGTGCCCCTTCTCTTGTCCACCCAGTGGCATGGTTGAGCTGATGTGGAGAACCTCATTCACTATTGGCCCCTGATCTCCATTCTGGGTAGATGGTAACTCAAGTAGCTAGATGGTCTAAATCCTCAGCAGACAGGAAGCCCTCCCTTCTGCAGGGGCTTCTTTTCTTCTTCTTCTTTTTTTTTTTTTTTTGGAGACACGGTTTCTCTGTGTAGCTTTGGAGCCTATCCTGGCACTCGCTCTGGAGACCAGGCTGACCTCGAACTCACAGAGATCCGCCTGCCTCTGCCTCTGCCTCCCGAGTGCTGGGATTAAAGGCGTGCGCCACCAACGCCCCACCTGCAGGGGCTTCTTAAGGGCTCCAAGTCTGTTCTTCGTCCAGCTCCTCCAGAGAGTCCTTCATGTCCCAACCAGCCGCTTCAGGAAGTACCCCCACCCGTGTGTGTGTGTGTGTGTGTGTGTGTGTGTGTGTGCTTGTGCACACATGTATTTGCTGTGGATTGAACTAGGGCCTCATGAATGCTCAGCAAACCCTTCACCACAGGGTAAGCCCAGCTCCATGTTTTCAATGTTGCATAATTTCTTGTCCTCCTCACATCGTCTTTCCTATTTTAAGACCCTTGTTTTTCTTGACCTGCTTTGTCACTAATATTAACCATTCCATTGGCTCTGAAATGTCTACGAAAGAACCCCTTTGTGCTCATGATTTGACCCAGACCGGCTGCCTGGCTGCCTAAGAACTTGAACTGGCCGAGTTCCAGTCTTGTCCTGCCTACCACATGCCACCCTGGCGGCCCCTTGATGCCCTTCCTCTCTCACCTGCTCACAGCTTAGTGGGGAACGAGACCACTGGAGCAGATTCCCCTTGTGATGTGACACACGAATTCCTCTGACTCTCCTGCCTGTGCCCTGCCACCCCTCCTCACAGCTCTCTGAGAGACCGCTGCCATGGCCGGAGTGGGTGGTTCTTCAGGAAAGGGTACCTTTCCGGGTACCTAAGCTCTCTCAGCCTGGGCAGTATGCACGCTTGAGAGCTTTCTTCCCACATTAGAGAGGGGACACCTGACTGCCACCACACACACACACACACACACACACACACACACACACACACGTATGTACACGTGTACACACACTCATCAAACACTCCCTCACTCAGAACTGGCCATCCTCACACCAGAACTGTGATCTTTCTTAGATGAACAACCCCCATTCGCACTGTCTGCACCTGGCTGACTGGCTGAGCCTCGCCAAGCTGAGTCACTTATGTAAGTCCTTCACATAGACCTCTGCCCTGCTTATTTGCTGGAAGAGTTATTGGAATCAGTATCTCCCACTCTGCCCTGGGCTTGGCCAAGACAGGAAATATGAGGTTAGGAACCAGGTATTCTAGAACCTGTTCCTTAGCAGCCCGGGGCAAGTCCCTTCTACCATGGGTATCTCAGTGTCCCTATCTAGGGAACCAGAGAATAGACTGGGCAGCCACTGTAGCCTGATGGTCTATAACCCAGGCAGCCTCCCTCGGTCTACCAATGTTCCTTGGTTCTACCTCACCTGTAATTCAGCCATTTCTTTAAAACAAAACATAAGAAAAACTTTGTTTTTGTATCATTACAGTAGTGTATGTGAGTGTGAGTGTGTGTGTGTGTGTGTGCGTGTGTGTGTCTGCCACAGTGTGCATGTAGAGGTCAGAGGAGAACTTTCAGGAATTGGTTCTCCTCTTCCACTGTGGGATCCAGGGGCCAAACTCAAGTCATTAGTAAGTACTTTTGCACACTGAGCCATCTCACCAGCCCCAGCTCAACTATTTCTGACTATCTCCCCACCTCCCATTAGTGCCTGCCAGTTTTTTAGATTTTTTTTTTTAAGCTTTCACTCTGTAGTCCAGGTTGTCTCAAACTCACAATGAACTTGCCTTGGTCTCCTGGGTGTTAGGATTACAGGTGTGAGCCACCACACCTGGCTTTAAAAACAAAGTTTTACATGGAAATCCAGAACAGCATCAGGTAGTAGCATGCAGGCCCAGCCCTGATGGAAGCCTGGCCAACATAATGCAGGAGCCCCTCATTTCTTCCTCATATGGACACAGAAGCCCGGCCCCGGCACCCAAACTACGCTGCTTCTCTGGCTGGGGACTCCCACCCTCCCAGGTCAGTGTTCAGTGGAT